GAGGTTTATATACATTAACCAATTCAATTTTGCTTCAATCTCCTACTCCCTTAGGTGAGCTTTTTCAAGGCTACTTTGAATATTTGGTGTAGATTTAGAATAAACGAATCACCCTTGTCAAGGTATTTATATTGCCTTTCTGGAATGATGCAGCACACAGTTTTATCAAATGCCCTCTAATCTGAAAGTGTTTTTCTTTTACTTCATAACATTGTGGCTTCTCATTAAATGAGAATGACAATTCTTAGAGGCAAGTTGTTTTATTTAAATCAGGATAGATTTCACCTTACTAAATAATTTGGAACATTTTTATGACCTTACTTCAGAAGAATTCCTGACATGGTACAAAATGGCATTATTTCCAAGGCACCCCCCCGCCCAAAGGTAAGAAAAAAAAAAGAAAGAAAAACAAGTCTCAGTAATCCATGCCATATATTTACTTGAGGGAGAAATTGTTTTCTAACACACCTTGTACCATGAACTGAAATGTTGGTGCCCATCCCTTGTTTGTTGGTCCATCCAAAACAGAAACAAGTTTTTGCAGGAATGTCAGGTGACTGTGGGGCAGGCCTGTACTGGAATGCAACTGGAGGCTTTGCATCAAAACACATAATCACTTGAACCACATGGGCCCAGCCTTTCCTGGGGCATTGTAGATCTCCAGCAAGAATGGGTTCTGGAATTCTATTTCACATAATGTGGATGTGCTAATTTTATGCTAATTCAATCACATATGTACTATTCATTACTCAGGTGTGAAAGTTGAAAGTCTTGAATTTGTAGTTAAATTCTTTGTCCAAATCTCAAGTTGGCTTGAAATGTCTTAGCAGTCAGGAGCAGGGAAGAGGGTTCTATGGAGACACCTGATGAAGCAGATCTAATTTGGAAGGTGGGTTGTTGTTTTGCACTCACATGAACATATTCGTGGCCTCGGCTGTCAGACGAGTTTTGTTTTCCTTGTCTAGTCCTGTTTACCTGCTCTTTATTTTAGTCTTAATAAACAGGAAGAGCTGCTATAACTCTCCAAAAGAATGTTTGAAGGAACCGGTAAGCATCTTTGAGGAATGAGAATTTTATACAGAAGGGGTTTAACCTTAAAAAAAAAAAAGAGGAATGGGAGGAGAATCAAAATAATCACATAATCCTTAAAATTTTAGAATTAAAAAGACTGTTTTGGGCTCTTCTGAAATGCTTTTTTTCTCTTCAGATCTCAAATTGTGGGTACACCTTTGCTGCTTCTGTTGGTGACATATTACCTTGTTGTTTAGAACAAATGTGACACTTGACGTCAAGGTTAGGGCTTGCGTACCATTTTCACACAGGTCCAAGACGTCTGTGCGTCAGCCTAGCCCTAGCCCAGATCTCGTGTGCAGTCAGCTCAGCTCGGCGTTATCACGGCACTGGGGCAAAGGAGAATGCAGTGAGAGACAAGTGGTGACAACATGCGTTGTGTCCCCAGGCTTTACTCCCCATTGTTCAAACATGCCATGCATGTTTTGGCCTCTTTACCTTGTGCTAAAGTTTTCCCTGATCGAAATAGAATAATGTTTTCATAAAGTGTTCTTTGTCTTTAGTGTTTTCTGAATTTTTGCAATTTCTGTACCACTTGGTTGGCGTTTAATTGTGATAATTGGGTATTGTTAGTGAACTTTCCATGTACCTATGGCTTACCTCCCGGAATTGATTTTCAAGTCTGAGAGAACGGAGGTGTCATCATAGACTTGGCTGCACTCTTTTTTATTCCAAAACACAGTTACTTTCAGTCTGAGGGTTAATTAAGTTCCTGGTTGGCTGGTTGTATGCAACGTGCCAGCCTGTTGTCACCTCCAGTTGTTGTTACAGTGTGCGCTCACTGAGGAGGTGTTTTCAGTCCTTATGAGCCTCCATGTGGATGGTCTTCCATATCCATGGCTAGTCCTGCAGACAGGACTCTTCAGTAATGTGCATGGGGGTAGCTTCCTGTCATGTGTGCTTTTTTCTACTGTGGGTGGTGCAGTGTTGTGTTTCCAGCACCATTGCCAGACCCTTTGGTTTGGAAAGCTGTGCCAGGCCCAGGGTATCTACAGAGCTTAGAACTCTGCTACTGCGAGGACACATGTTTATAAACATACTCGTGTTTAACAGAGTTTGTTGGAGGGGAGATTAGGCAGCTTTCATTTTGTATTACGCTGTTTTCAAGGACAAGTTACGGACAAGTTACGGTGGTTGCACAAGTTACTGTGGTCTAGGGGGAATGGTTACCTTATCTAGAAAAGGAAAGCTGCCTGGAGTGTGTTTAACTTTCTTGATATAGCATTATAGGCTGGCTGAACAATATATGGACTTTAGAGATAATCTAATCTCTGCATTTTACACACATGGCCTCCATGCCGCAAAGAGGAAGTGACTTGTGCAGTGTCAGCCCCTTAGCCTGGAGTCATTTCATTATCTTTTTTTGTGGCTGCTGATAGACAGGACATGTGACAGGGGAGATGCGTTTGTCATTCCAGTCCTGGTTTCTTGGTGCATCTCCTCTATCTCTGCATCTTTACAGCTTCACAGACTGGCTCTGCTCCTGCTTAGTTAGCTACCCTCGCCACCCTCTGATAAGTTTATAGTTACAAATTTTATTGTTGTTTGAGGTAGTCCATTTCACACTTTAATTACCAGTTGTGTATTATGTTTTGCCTGAGTTTCCATAAAGCTCATTTGTTTCTTTGCTTCCATGAGGGATTTTTATCAGAAACTTGACTTTTAACCAGGCTATAGAATAGTAACAGTACAGACTACTGTATTTGTACTTCCTGTGTTTTTAGTGCTTAATTTTTTTTTTTTTTTAAGATACTATGTACCATAATTTCTTAGAAGGAATACATTGAAGGCACAGGCACTAAATTTCAAATACTTCATAAGGGAAACCTTTGTAGGGATGGGGAACTAACCCCAGGTATTTAAGGAATTAAGAAATTATATGGCATTAGCATATGTAATCTCCTTTACATATATTTCATAAGGTATCTTGGAGCGCGTGTTTAAATATTCCCCATTTCATTCAAATGCATTTGAAATTAACCAGATGGGCCCAGATAAAGTCATGAGTCACATTAGGGACTTTTATGAAAAATCTAAGCGCCAACAAATTTTGAAACAAATAAGAAAGGATACAGATGGATCTTTAGTTTGAGATAACCAGTAACATGTATCAATGAATGCTTTGGGGTGTGGGGCTTGTGTTTAAGAGAGCGTCCTTGTTTCATATGCTAAAGTGAAGATTCTAGGAGGGTAGGGACAGTGTACTGCTGTAACTCTTGTATCTGGTTCAGTGCCTGCCACATAGTATTTATTGGGTTGTCGGAAAAGTCATGACGCATATTTGTGACAGATGGCACTAGTTCATTTTTGGAAGTACTATAGTCATTCACATCTATGTTATTGCTATGTCATTTGTCAGCTGACAGTTCTAGCTTCATTCTAAAATAAAAATTGAGTGATTTGGTTGAACTGTGGAGATATTACAACAAGTTGAAGATGGAAGACCAAACTGTGCATTTTTGCCATGTTTTACTGTTTTACTTCCATAAAGGGAAGAACGCGCATCAAGCTTGTGAAAAGTTGCATCAAGTTTACAGTGACAATGCTCCACAAGAACGTCAATGCCAACGATGGTTCACAAAATTCCGTGCTGGTGATTTTGATCTCAACGACGCTCCTCAGTCAGGGAGGCCCACTGAGGTTGATGATGACAAAATAAAGGCATTGATCGAGTCAAACCCACGTTACACGACACGAGAGATTGCAGAAACATTGAACATCCATCATTCAAGCGTTCACGACCACCTGAAGAAGCTGGGATACGTAAGCAAGCTCAATATTTAGGTTCCACATGAACTCAAAGAAGTTCATTTGACGGTGTGTATAAACATCTGCAATATGCTCATTAAACATAAAGAAAACAATCCTTTTTTGAAGCAACTGATAACTGGTGATGATTGTTTACAACCAAGTGGTGCGTAAATGGTCTTGGTCCCGACTTGATGATTTGCCTCAAATGACATCGAAAGCAGACATTCATCAGAGGAAGGTTATGTTCTCAGTGTGGTGGGATCTTAAAGGTGTCATGATTTTTGAGCTCCTACCAAGGAACTAAACAATCAATTCGAATGTGTACTGTCAACAATTAGACAGTTTGAACGAATCCATCATCCAGAAATGTCCAGAGCTTGTTAATTGTAAAGGAGCTGTGTTCCATCGCGACAACACGAGACTACACACAAGTTTGATCACCCGTCAAAAATTACTGGATCTTGGATGGGATGTGTCGCCACACCCACCATACTCGCCTGACCTTGCGCCGTCAGACTTCCACTCGTTTCACTCTCTTCAAACCCCTTGCATGGCATAAGGTTCAATTCAGATGAGGCTATAAATCAGCACCTTGTTCAGTTTTTTGCAAATAAAGACAGGTTCTTCTATGAACGAGGAATTATGAAGCTCACTGAAAGATGGCAAAAGGTTATCCAACAAAATGGGCAATATATCATTGATTGACCTTTGTTCTTTATATAAATAAATGACCTTTGAAAAACAGACAAAATACATCATGACTTTTCCGACAACCCAATGGATGCTCCATAAACATTTGAATAAATAAATAATCTCCACAGTCCCATTAGGGTGATAAATTGTAACATGATAAACATGCACATCTTCAAGACATTGTTGTAAGTGCTGCAGAGATGTAGGGCAGAAGATAAAGTGGGATTGAAGACTGATGTTGCTAAGAGGTAGATATTATAGAAATTGAAATTTTGGTAAGATTTCCACAAGCGAAGAGATGGGGATGGCTTTCCAGGAGGGCACAGATAAGCGATGGTAACAAGTTCGTGCAACAAGGAGAGCTTATGGATGACTAGCTCACATCCTGGTGTATATGAAGGTACATGTATATGCCCTTTGTCTGTGTTACACCCTCCCCTGCTGAAAACCTTTCCTAAAAGCTGACGCATGTTCCATGCCTGCAGAGATGTCCATCGTAATGACTCAGGCGCATTATCTGGCCTTTGGCAAATCTTTAGAAGATACCATCATGGATCCTCTCGTGACCGATGGTAGGAGTATCCTGAGAGGACCAGGGAGCCCCACCTCTGGCATCAGCAGTCCTGAGGAGACTCTGGGGACAGGCTCCTGCAACCCTCCCCGTGGTCTCAGCCACATTCTAAGCACTGCTGTCTGTTGTGCACCGCCGTGGGGCCACTTGAACTGCGATGTTGTGGTGCTGTTGCACGCTAAGCCGGACCCCATGCAGTGTGGGATGTGCTGGATGTGAGTACAGGAGACACAGGGTACAGCTGAATAACTGTTGTCCCAGGCTTCCAAAGAGGAAATCAGAGGTAGGTGCAGGTCCTCTGGCAAAACCCAGTCTTTCCTTATAGCCTCCTCTTCTGTATTAGTTTAGGAAGATGTCTTCTGATTGTTTTGTGTAATGTTGCCAGGTGTAAGGAATTAATTGTGTATTCTTAAGTGGCTTCGGATAATTTCTTTAAGAAAAATTGGGAGGTGGTTTTGGATTAAATATGAGGGGAGGAGTGGAGAGCTGCTTTAGGGTCAAGTTTGTATTGGTTTGTTTTAAAATTCCAAGCTATTTAGAGTTTATCATGTTTCAGTGAGGTTTTCTTTCCAGGTCAGAAAAATTCCTTTTGATCTGAGTCAGACTCTCTTGTTTGCTAGTTGGAAAGTAAATATGCGAGGGTTAGGTTTTTCTTTTGTTAAACTGATTGATGAAGCTTAAGGATCTCTTAAGTTGGTTATTTCTTTTGTAGATGCTAGAAAAACATTCACCATTTTAGTTAGCTTTAAAGGATCTCATACAATGTAGTAAGTAGTTACTGTCTTAACTGCATTGTGTGCTATGCCACTGAGGCCACAGGATGGGTCTCTACCTTGAGGTGCCTGAGGCCCTCTTTTAATGTTTGTGAATTGTTTTTTCTACAGCTTTGAACCTGGCACTGCCTAGTGCATGACTGGAATGACATGCTTCTTAAATCTGTATGTCTTTGATAGGTAACATGGTGTAAATCATTACTTCCTCATGTTGAAGTTAGTCAAATATATTAACTAGTGGCTGATATATTTTTTATTATTTTTTCCCCCCAATCTAAGCCAAAAAAAAGAAGGATATAAAGGACTTAATCTCCATCAACGTTTTCCTTCCAGTTTGTACCCCTGACCTTTAAAGTTGTTTTGATCCTCCTGCAATAGGCATTGCTTTCAAAGGCAGAGCACGAATTTAGAAGTTGGACTAATATCTGAGCTTAAACTCCCTTTCCTCTTCAACTTTACATGTGTGATGATCTCAGACAAGTTAGATTTTCTGTTCTTGAGTCCTCTCATCTACAAGTGGAGCTGAAAACACTCACCTTGAATGATTGGTGTGAAAACAGATGTGAATATGAGTGACACATAAGAAAGTTTCCAGTCATCAGTGTCCCCACCACTGGCCCCTTTGTAGAGTAGGGGTGCAGGAATGGAATGGGTCAGGAGGCGGGCACAGTGCCAGCTGCCTACTTTCACAGTGCTGATCGTGGCAAAGCGTGGAGAGATTCGAGCTCTGGAGCAGAATAACCTGTAGGTCCACAGTGTTTTTTAGGGACTTCCGCTGGGATGTAGTGCATATGTGCTACCTCACATTTGCCCTTTAGGAAAACCTTCTCTTCCCTGTCTAGTGGCCCATGAGGTAACAACACCCCTAGGCCCTTGCACGTTCTTCCCAGGACTAGAGTGGAAAGAGCTTGGTCGGCCAAGGTGAGCTTTTGTCTTGCTCTCTTTTTCCTGGGTTTTAGGCAGGTTTATCGAGGCCTACACTCATGTCTGCCTGGCATTCCAGGTCAGGAATGCTGGGGACTCAACCCCTGTGTTGAGAATGAAGGTGTTTGTACTGGAATTTGGGTTCCTTTTCATTGCAAGGGAAAAACATCTGGATGTCTTCTTTCTCCATATCTAAGATGTTGTCTGAAATGTCAGCTAGAATAATCACAGCGTTTCTTGAGCCAGCTCGGGAAGTCAGAGGATTAGGGTGAATGGGGGGGGGGGGCGTTGATCCTGGCATGGCACAGCATGTCCATGGCGTGTCTTTGGGCAGTTAGGAGACCACAAGCCTGTGTTGGTGATTATATTCTCTGAGAAACTCTTGTTTATTTTTTTTTTCCTTTATCCAATAGGGTTATTTATTTTAGGTACACATTATTTATACAATGTGGTGGTTTGTTCTTTGTTCTGTGCTGAAAAAAAGCAGAAGATGGATGGTCCCAGCCTTTGGGGAACTTATCTAGAGATAAACAAAACTCCACACGTGCAAGGACATAGGCTATTCAGTGGCAAGTACGTGGTCTAGATAAATACTGTGGGGTTGGAGTACGTTTCATAGAGGATGTGGTTTTGTTTTAGATTTGGAAAGGTACATATAGTTTGGGTAGTTGGGAGCTGTAGGGATTGGGAGTGTTCCAGATGTGTGGAATTAAATGAACAAAAACAGAAAAAGATTAATTAATTCACTGAGCCAGTGTTTACTGAATATCTACTCTGTCTCAGGCACTGCACTGGTGCTTGGGGTTTGTCAGTGAGTAGAACAGGTGAAGACCCAGATGTGGTAAGACAGTGTTGTGGCCTGTGTGGGAGGCTGGAGAGCTGTGATGGGAGCCATGGAAAGCCGGGAAAAGCAGGCTGGGAGGACTTGGCCAAGGATGTTGGATTTTGACCTTTAGAATGTAGTGAGTTACTGAAAATTACGCATATCACAGGACAGTGACGTGATGAAATGGGTATCTTGTGAATATAGATGTGGCAACAAGATATAGGACAGGACTGAACAGATAGGAATCTAGACGCAGTAATGAGTTAGGAGGTACAGTATTGAGAACGAGAGATGAAGGAAAGGGAAAGGAAGAAAGATTTTCACTAGTTATGTTATTTAAGATGATAATTTTAGAAACCTACATATATGTTTGTTATGGAAAATCAGAACATACAGGCAAGGGCTGCCAATTGTGTAAGGCCATCTTGCCTTTTGTCTATGCTGATAGGCAGAACTGCCTTCAGACTGTAGATGATGCTTCCTTCACAGCATCCTGTGCACAGTGTTTGAATTGCTGTATAGTGTTTCACTGATTTTATCTATTCAGCATAAGTCTTATTGTTGGATATCTAGTAGGTTTTCTATTCCATATTATTGTTTATTAAAATATCTGATTTAACATATACATCTTGACCGTGTATGAGTATACACACATTTCAAGTTCCTGGGTCAATGGGTATGTTCAATTTTAAGCATTTTGATGCATGGTACCAAATTCCATCTCCCTATAGCGGTGCGCACCAACACCCCCCCCCCCAATCAAAATGTGTGTGACAGTTTAGAATTCAGGAGCAGCATGTAAGAATGCTGGCTTCCTGCACGCTTATGGAACTNCACCCCCCACCCCCCAATCAAAATGTGTGTGACAGTTTAGAATTCAGGAGCAGCATGTAAGAATGCTGGCTTCCTGCACGCTTATGGAACTCTGGGTCATTACATTTGTTTGAACGTAATCTATTTTCCCAGTTTGTTAGGAAACACTCAAACAGTGGTTGAGAGAATCATACAAAGTCCAGCTGTGTCAGTTGACTTGTGATTGGATTTGGCCAGTGGGATGTAGAGTGGGAAGTGGGAGGCCCATGACAAGACAGCCCTGGCGGAGATTTTACTCGCTCTGCTTTGGGCTGTGTCTCTGCCAGCTCCAGGTCTCTTTCCTGGAGGCCCAGCTTCTGCCACAGCACCCCAGGCCTAGCCTCTGGGGCCACCTCCCTTTATTTCTGTAGCCAAGAGGTGGTGGTAGCTTCCTGCTACTGTTAATCTGTGGGTTGCCCCCACCCCACCACCTTCCTTGTTTGAGTCTCAACTCTACATTTTGTAACCAATTCTCTGTATTAATTTTCCTCTGCTTAAAATAGTTGGGGTTTGTATTTTATTGGTTGCACTCTGAATCTCTCTCTCTCTCTCTCTCTCTCTCTCTCTCTCTGTCTCACACACACACACACACACACACACACACACAGAGTCTATGCTACGTTAAAGTAGCAGACATTATGACACTTTACATACTTTAGTATACAGGGATATTCTACTACATATCCACAAAACTATTATGCCTAGTTAAATTAAGAATATTTTGCCAGTATTATCTAACATCAAATCCATATTAAATTTCCCCCAACTGTCTCCAAAGTGTCTTTTACAGTGATTTTTGTTTTTTAACCTCAATAAGGTTTCCATGAAGGCTTACATCTTGAGTATGGCTATGCCTACTTAGTCTCTTTGATCTAGAACTGTCCCCTAGTTGTTACTGTTTTTAAATGATATACTTTTAACATTTTCTCTTAGAAAAATTTTAAACTGCAGATTAATAAATTGAACACTTTTATCTAGATTCATGAATTTTTAACATTTTGCTGACATTTGCTTTCTTCCTCTGTGTGTGTGTGTGTGTGTGTGTGTGTGTGTATTAGTAATAATACTAATACTAATAATACTAATTTTTGTGCTGAACATTTGAGATTAAACTATAGCTATTGTGACGCTTCTCAACCCCTAAACTGCAGCATTTATTAAATCCTAAAACCAAGAATATTCTTTTATATAATCACTGTACAGGAAATTTTCCAATTATTATATGATTCTGTCACCTAATACAACAGATTTCCTCAATTGTCTCAGTACTGTAATCTTCACAATTTTTTTCTGCGGATGCAGTATCCAGTCTAAGATTTGACATTGCACTTATTATGGATATCAGATGATATGAATTTCTTTTTTAAGAGACCAATACAGTTGTGTTGTTCAAAGTGTCATATTCTGGAGTTGTCCGATTGCTACCCTGTGGTGTCATTGAACCTGTTCTCTTTCCCCTCTCTTTCTGTAGAGAAGAAGTTAGGTTTTTGACTTGATTAGGTTAAATCAGAGGCGGATGGGGCTGCCAGTAGGAATGAAGACAGGAAGTTATTTTTAGCAGGAAGATAAGGAAAATAAGTTTAATAAATTTGAATTAAAATGGGACTTGATGAAAACATTGCTCATTCGTCAGTTATTCCCACTCGTCCTTTTTCTCATTGCATTGAAGTTTCCCAGCAAGCTCTTAAAACTAGTTACTTGGGGATCCAGACAGCTCCCAAGGTGACACGCAGCGAGAGGTGAATGTTTGAGACAGGGGCGTTGGGAGGGCTTTGGTCTAGAACGGTGGGTTTTACAGTCCTCTGCATAGAGCTTGGAGTTGAAACAGATCTGAGAAAGA